GGACCACCCATGTGACCTGGCAACTCTGAACTCCCCTAGCCCTCCTTATTACATGTTAATAAATGGATGTATTGCTGTGTAATCTGTATGTAGCTCCATCTATAACGTTTGATTAGTTATACATCTATATAAACCTTCGTAGCCTTGTTCATAACCCTGTCGTAACCATCTTATCACCACTCTGATATGCATTATAGCACTCAGTCAGGGTTCTTGAGGATCTTTATGCACCCTTCATAGCCCTTAATAAGTATGTTATAACCATTCTAAGATATTATAACACTCACTATCTTCATCTGTCTGTCCCTCCATCTCTGGGCTCTCTTTCACACCCCTCTGCGTTCTGAACACTTCATTACAGTGTTACAATGCTGTTAATAACAGGTCATAACTAAACTTCATTACACTGTTACAATACTGTTATAAACAGGTCATAACTAAACTTCATCCTTATTTGTCCTTAGTCCAGTCTGTATCTCTGGGCTCTCTGACTTCCTTAGGGTTCTTTAAAAACCTTTATACACCTTCATAACCCTGTCATAACCATGTTATTACCATTCATAAGGTATTATGGAGGGTTGTAGCTAGTCTCCTGAGTGGCGCAGTGGTCTAAGGCACTGCATCGCAGTGCTAGCTGTGCCACTAGAGATCCTGGTTCGAATCCAGGCTCTGTCGTAGCCGGCCGTGACCGGGAGACCCATGGGGCGGCGCGCAATTGGCCCAGCGTCGTCCATGGTAGGGGAGGGAATGGCCGGCAGGGATGTAGCTCAGTTGATAGAGCATGGTGTTTGCAACGCCAGGGTTGTGGGTTTGATTCCCACAGGGGGTATGAAAAAATATATATAATGTAAGTCGCTCTGGATAAGAGCGTCTGCTAAATGACGTAAATGTAAATGTAAATGTAATTATAACGCTTACCGTCCTCGTCTGTCTGTAGCGCCATCTCTGGGCTCTCTTTCACCCCCTCTGGGTTCTTGAGGACCAGTTTGACTGACAGGTTGGTGTAAGGGGTCAGGTTGTGGATGGTGTGCTGGGGGTCGCGACCCAGGGTGTCGTAACACACCTCCTCGCGGGTCTCGTTCTTCCCCGCCACGCGGGAGCGGTACTGCACCGTCAGGTTGTAGCTATGGCAACGCGTCACGTTGTAGCCAAACGGCTCCCAGCGAATGGTGACTTGTTTAGATTGGACGTCAACTACCTCTAGACGCCTGGGGCTGTGGATGGGCTCTGTATGGGGGGAGAAGTAAGGTATTTAGAGGATACATGGTGGACGGATAAGGATCTCATTGTTTGGGAGTGTGTGTGTGTGTGTGTGTGTGTGTGTGTGTGTGTGTGTGTGTGTGTGTGTGTGTGTGTGTGTGTGTGTGTGCGCGTGCGTGCCTGTGTGATTATCCTAAGCAAATGTTGTTCATTGCATTGGGTCTGTGGTGGAAGAAAACAATGTCTGTTTGAATGTAACCTTTGTTTTAACCAGGTGTGTTGACTGAGAGCACCTCTTTTTACAGCAATGACCTGATTAAATGTGTCATTCAACATGGGTTGAATGAGCCAAATGGTATTATTTTTTTGTGTGTGCTGATTTTGTATATTTTTTTTTCAAACCCATCTCCCAAACGAATATAGCATTATCAGTCTGTCTGTCTGTATTAGATTGTGCCAGTTCATTCTTTGAATTCAAAAGAAACCCTAATCTAACTCTGACTACAGCGCACCAATCCATCCTCTATGATTTGGCCCCTGAATAGTGCCGGTCCTTTGTTTGTGTCAGTGTAACATTGACGTGTGAAGACGTGAGCTTCTCCATTCCCAAAACCAAAATCACAAACTGCAAAGCCTCCAGACCTACTGGTGATAGTCTCTCTGTATGGGACATATCCTCCCTCCAGACCTACTGGTGATAATCTCTCTGTATGGGACATATCATCCCTCCAGACCTACTGGTGATAGTCTCTCTGTATGGGACATATCATCCCTCCAGACCTACTGGTGATAGTCTTCTCTGTATGGGACATATCATCCCTCCAGACCTACTGGTGATAGTCTCTCTGTATGGGACATATCATCCCTCCAGACCTACTGGTGATAGTCTCTCTGTATGGGACATATCATCCCTCCAGACCTACTGGTGATAGTCTCTCTGTATGGGACATATCATCCCTCCAGACCTACTGGTGATAGTCTCTCTGTATGGGACATATCATCCCTCCAGACCTACTGGTGATAGTCTCTCTGTATGGGACATATCCTCCCTCCAGACCCTACTGGTGATAGTCTCTCTGTATGGGACATATCATCCCTCCAGACCTACTGGTGATAGTCTCACTGTATGGGACATATCATCCCTTTAGACCATGTCATTCCTCTCCCTCCTTCCCCCTCTCCTTCCATCCCACCCTGTCCAGGTCAGTTATCAGCTCAACATGGATACTGAGGAAACTATCCAGACTGAATCTGTCTCCGTCTGTCTTTTAGTCCAGACCACAACCCCCACTGCCATCCTATCACCGCTAATCACATAGTCTTTCTTCCCTCTTCTTTTTCTACCTCTCTCTCTTCCTCTGTTTTTCTCTTTCCATTTCTACCCATTTCTACTTCTCTCCCTGCCCTCCCTCCACCTCCCTCTCTCCCTCTCCCCCTCCCTCTCTCCCTCTTCCTCCCCCCTCTCTCATACGGGAGGCGAGCAGCCTAGTAGCCAGAGCTCAAGGTAATGGGATCAATTTCCATCCCAGGTTAAAGCTTCAGTCCATTTCCCTGGAAGTCAACACTTTACCACCTATTAGGAGCTGCCAGGGCTCAATTCACCGTTCCCCAGGAGACCCACACACACCCCCAGACCATGGTTAACATGCTGGAGTTATAGAGAAAGGAGGACAGGAGGAAGAGGAGGAGGAGGAAGAGAGGATCTTAATTATTACTAGAGTCTATGTATGAGACGGATGCTCAGTACAGGCGATGATTGTAGGTATAGATTTCGTATATTATTGTCTTCGACTTACCTCTTCTCATTCTTTCTTCTCGTTCTATCATTTCCTCTTCTTTTTCCTTCGGGCTTGTCCTTCTTTTTCTCCTCTTCGCTTCATTTGGGGCGTTTTCCTGTCTACTTTTTCTTTGCTTCTCTTCTCTTGTGGCTTCTTACTTTCTTTTCTTCTCTTTTCTCTTCTCTCTTCTCTTCTTCCTTTCTCTTCTACTTTCTTAGCATCTTTTCCTTTTTCTTTATTGGTTTTCTCCTTTCCCTCGTCTATTAGTCCCTTTTTCTTCGTATTTTTCTTCTCTTCTCTTCTTCTCTTCTTTTCTTTCTCTTTCTTTTCTTCTTCTTTCATTTTTCCTTCGCGTTCTTCTCTTCTTCTCTTCTTTTCGTTCTCTTTTGCCTTCTCTTTCTTCTTTTCATTCTCTCTTCTTTCTTTTCCTTTTTCCTTCTCTTCTTCTCTAGTCACTTACTCGCTCGTTATCTCCTTCTGGTTCCTTGTTTTGTTCGTCCTTCTTTTACTTCTCTTTTTCTTTTCTTTTTCTCTTCTCTGAGAAGAAATTACACACCACCACCACGCTACGGTAGGCTACAAGCCTTACCTGTAAAGGTTAACATTTTGGTGGGGGGGGAAAGAGGATATGGAATAGGATGAAAAACTGTGTGTACTCTCTCTCTTCCCCCCGCCCGCCTACCCCCCTTTTCTCCGTAATGGTTTCTTTCTGGGTTCTGGTCTCCAGTACTGGTTTCTGGTCTCAGTAATGGTTTCATGGTCCGTAAATTGGTTTAACCTTTTTCTGGTCCTCAGTAATGGTTTCTTTCTGGTCTCAGTAATGGTTTCTGGTCTCAGTAATGGTTTTTTGTCTCAGTAATGGTTTCTGGTCTCAGTAATGGTTTCTGGTCTCAGTAATGGTTTCTGGTCTCAGTAATGGTTTCTGGTCCTCAGTAATGGTTTTTGTCTCAGTACTGGTTTATGGTCTCCAGTATCATCGACGGAGCCACAAGAGCAGAAGACGGAAGACTGAACAACATGATTCACAAAATATGGGATGCTTACTATAAATTGTACTGTTTTCATCAAAAAAAAAAAAAAGCCCCCCATTCTCTTTTGAAATCAGTGTAAAAATCCCTCCTAAACCAGCCTTAATGCACAATATTACAATTAATCAGTGTGATGACTACAAGTGTTGGCACCGTTCAGAATAATCAATGGTTCTCAGGAAATTAGGTCACAACACGAACTGAAGTCTGAGAGAAAAAGCTAGAGGGAAGGCTATATGTAATATATATAGATTATAGATCTAGATATATAGAGATAGTGTGAGGTGTGGGTAGGGAGATTTTTATATAGATATAGATAGAGAGATAGATAGATAGAGACTGAAGCTGAGACTGAGAGAAGAGACAAACTGGCTTGCTGTAACTGAACGAATGGAAGACAGGACAATAAGGAGTGATATGAGGTCTACTGTTTTTTCCCTTGTTATTTGTTGCCTGGTCCTCTCATAGAAAATAACTAATAAACCTCTCTCATCCTTCTTCTCTCTCGCCCCTCCTCTCTCTCCCCCTCTCTCTCTCTCTCTCTCCCCCCGTCCCCCCGCCCGCCCACCCCTCTCTGCTCTCTCTCTCTCTCTCTCTCTTTCTCTCTCTCTCTCTCTCCCAGTCTCCTACTCTCATCTCTCGCTTCGGTTACGTCACTCTCCATCTCTGCGTTCTCGTCTGCTCTTCCTCTAGTCCTCTCCCGGGCTCGGGGCCTCCATTCTCCAGGGTCGTCTCCCTCTTCTCTCTCTAGTGAGTGCTCTCCATCTTTCCTGTGCTTTAATAAAGAAGGGAAGGGAACATAGAAGAGAGGCCCGAGACCGAGAGAACAGACCCATCATCTGATTGAAGACAGAGGGGTGTGTGTTGTTTGTGTTTGTGTGAGGTGTTTGTTTGGTTTTTGTTTTTTTTTTTTTGTTTTTTTGTGTGTAGAAAGATTAGTTTTTTGTTTGTTTGTTCTTTTTTTTTTTTTTTTTTTTTTTTTGGTTTTTTTTATGTTATTTTTGGTTTTTTTCTTTTTTTTTTTTTTTTTGTTGCTTTTTTTTTGTTTTTTTTTTTTTTCTTTTTTTTTTCTGTTTTTTTCTATTTGTTTTTGTATTTTTTTTTTTTTTTTGTGTTTTTTGCTTGTTTGTCGTTTTTTTTTTTTTTTTTTATCTTTTTTTTTTTTTTTTTTATTTTTTTTTTTTTTTTTTCCCTTTTTTTTTATTTTTTTTTTTTTTTTTTTTCTTTCTTTTTTCTCTTTTTTTATTTGTTTTTTTTTTTTTTTTTTTTTACTTTTTTTTTTATTTTTTTTTTTTTTTTTTTGTTTTTTTCTTTTTTTTATTTTTTTTTTTTTTTTTTTATGTCGCTTTGTCTGTTTTTTGTGTTTCTTTTTTTTTATTTTTTTTTTTTTTTGGTTTGTTTTTTTTTGTGATGATGTTTTCTGTGGTGTGGCGGTTTTTTTTTTATTGTGCTGGTTTTTTTTTTTTTTTTTGTGTTGCTTTTTTTTGTTTGTTTTTTTTCATTTTTTTTTTCTTTTTGCAATTTTTTCTCTTTTTTTTTTTTTTTTGTTTTTTGTTCTTTTTGTTTTTTTGCCGTTTTTGCTTTTTTTTTTTTATTTTTAAGATTTTGCTTTTGGTTGGTGTTTTTATATATGTTAATAATTATTCTTTTTGTGTTTTTTTGTGTGTGTGTGTGTAGTCTTTGTGTGGATCCGGAGTGTTTGGTTGTGTGTGGTTCGCTTTCGTGTGTCTCTGTGTTTGTGTTTTTGTGTGTTTGTTTTGTGTGTGTTTTGTGGTGTGTTTTCATATTTTTGTTTTTGTTTTTTTTTGGTGTTGTGTTTTTTTTGTGTGTTTGGTTTTTTCTTAGTTTGTTTTTTCTGTACTGTCCCTCGCCTCCCGCATAGACTCCAACCTGGAATTCGAGGTGCGGCAGGTAACCGAAAGGTTGCTTATTCGAATCCCTGAGGCAGCAAGGTTCCACAGGGACGCTGGCCCATGTTGACTCCAACGCTTCACACAGTTGTATCAAGTTGGCTGGATGTCCTTTGGGGTGGTGGATCATTCTTGATACACACGGGAACTGTTGAGTGTGGAAAAACCCAGCAGCGTTGCAGTTCTTGAAACACTCAAACCGGTGTGCCTGGCACCTACTACCATACCCCGTTCAAAGTTGCTTCAATCTTTTGTCTTGCCCATTCACCTTCTGAATGGCACACATACACAATCCATGTCTCAATTGTCTCAAGGTTTAAAAATCCTTCTTTAACCTGTCTCCTCCCCTTCATCTACACTGATTGAAGTGGATTTAACAAGTGACATCAATAAGGGATCGTAGCTTTCACCTGGATTCACCTGGTCAGTCTATGTCATGGAAAGAGCAGGTGTTCTTAATGTTTTGTCCACTCAATGTATGCCTGAGGACAAATGAGAATATTACAAATCACGTTGTTGGTTGAAGGTTAAAGGTTAAGGTTTCCCAGCTTTTTAATCAACACCATAAAGGTTACTGATTTTATTTGAGCAACATTCTACCTTGTAATATCTTGTTTTCAATATCTTCTTGGTAATATTGATTTCTGAAAGCAGCAGATGTCATTCTGTACTACAGACATGGTAGATGGAAATCCTTGTTTCTTTAACCCTTTAACAACATACAGTGGGGGAAAAAAAGTATTTAGTCAGCCACCAATTGTGCAAGTTCTCCCACTTAAAAAGATGAGAGAGGCCTGTAATTTTCATCATAGGTACACGTCAACTAGACAGATGAAATGAGAAAAAAAAATCCAGAAAATCACATTGTAGGATTTTTAATGAATTTATTTGCAAATTATGGTGGAAAATAAGTATTTGGTCAATAACAAAGTTTCTCAATACTTTGTTATATACCCTTTGTTGGCAAGACACAGGTCAAACGTTTTCTATAAAGTTCTTCACAAGGTTTTCACACACTGTTTCTGGTATTTTGGCCCATTCCTCCATGCGATCTCCTCTAGAGCATTGATGTTTTGGGGCTGTCGCTGGGCAACACGACTTTCACTCCTCCAAAGATTTTCTATGGGGTTGAGATCTGGAGACTGGCTAGGCCACTCCAGGACCTTGAAATGACTTCTACGAAGCCACTCCTTCGTTGCCCCGGGCGTTTGTGTTTGGATCATTTGTCATGCTGAAAGACCCCCAGCAATTTCATCTTAATGCCCTTGCTGATGGAAGGAGGTATTCACTCAAATCTCACGATACTGGCCCCCCATTCATTCTTTCCTTTACACGGATCAGTCGTCCTGGTCCCTTTGCAGAAAAAACAGCCCCAAAGCTGATGTTTCCAACCCCCATGCTTCACAGTAGGTATGGTGTTCTTTGGATGCAACTCAGCATTCTTTGTCCTTTAAACACGACGAATTTTTTACCAAAAAGTTATATTTGGTTTCATCTGACCATATGACATTCTCGCAATCCTCTTCTGGATCATCCAAATGCACTCTAGCAAACTTCAGACGGGCCTGGACTGTACTGGCTTAAGCATGGGGGACACCTCTGGCACTGCAGGATTTGAGTCCCTGGCGGCGTAGTGTGTTACTGGGGTATACTTTGTTACTTTGGTCCCAGCTCTCTGCAGGTCATTCACTAGGTCCCCCCGTGTGGTTCTGGGATTTTGCTCACCGTTCTTGTGATCATTTTGACCCCACGGGGTGAGATCTTGCGTGGAGCCCCAGATCGAGGGAGATTATCAGTGGTCTTGTATGTCTTCCATTTCCTAATAATTGCTCCACAGTTGATTTCTTCAAACCAAGCTGCTTACCTATTGCAGATTCAGTCTTCCCAGCCTGGTGCAGGTCTACAATTTTGTTTCTGGTGTCCTTTGACAGCTCTTTGGTCTTGGCCATAGTGGAGTTTGGAGTGTGACTGTTTGAGGTTGTGGACTGGTGTCTTTTATACTGATAACAAGTTCAAACAGGTGCCATTAATACAGGTAACGAGTGGAAGACAGAGGAGCCTCTAAAAGAAGAAGTTACAGGTCTGTGAGAGCCAGAAATCTTGCTTGTTTGTAGGTGACCAAATACTTATTTTCCACCATAATTTGAAAATAAATTCATTAAAAATCCTACAATGTGATTTTCTGGATTTTTTTCTCTCATTTTGTCTGTCATAGTTGACGTGTACCTATGATGAAAATTACAGGCCTCTCTCATCTTTTTAAGTGGGAGAACTTGCACAATTGGTGGCTGACTAAATACTTTTTTTCCCCACTGTATCTACAGCCTTCAACCTTCAAATAACCCGTTATGTCCCCTTGTCTAACAACATATCTACAACCGTCAAATGGCATGGCTTACAGAAG